GCGATAAAGCTTGTAGTTAAAAATGAATTTACTATCAGTGGATTTAATTTAAAATATCACACGAGAGCCAAAATGAAAGCAATAAAGTTATGGCTGATAATGCATTTAAACTAAAATATACAAGATAATTAAGCGAAAGAAGTCATTCATAAAGAAGACAAAATGTGAATAGTATTGTCATACATGATACTTTTTAATGTATTGAAAATTGACTAGTGCTGTAACAACATTTGTCTTTGGATTCACTACCTTGCAATTTCTATTCTTGTTCACCTCATGTACAATGTATGGTCCTTCCCACTTTGGACTAAACTTAGCCACTAATGTTCCTTTTCTAATATGTTCTGCTGCGCGAAGTATTAAGTCATCTTCTTTAAAACTTCTTTTCCTTACCAGTTTGTCATATGCTTTACTTAATCGTTTTTGGTATGTGGAAAAATTCTTATTAGCTTTATCTCTTCTTTGCTCTAATGTTTCCAATTCCATCATTCGTAAAGCATCATTGTTCACCTAAACATCCACGACCAATCTTGCTAATGGAATTGGGATTTCTACTAGTAGAATGACTTATGTCCCATATACTAAAGAGAAAGGAGTAGCATTGGTAAGTGCTCATTTGGAAGTTCTGTACACCCATAGTGCCACCAGAACAACATCATGCCACATCTTAGGACCGTCATGTACCATTCTGCTTAGCACTTTGAGTTGAGTCTTATTGATGGCCTTAACTGAACCATTCCTTTTAAGGTAATAAGGGGTTGACTTCACATGATTGACATCATAAAGGCTAAGAATCCCCTTATACTAAAGTTAACAAATGAAGTACCATTGTCAGACAAGATATGTTTGGGTATTCCAAATCTACATATGATGTTCACTTTGATGAAGTTGGCAATGGTCGGTCCAGTTGCCTTCTTCAAAGGAATAACTTTTACCCATTTGGTGAAGTACTCTGTCGCTATGAGTATCGATGTATATTCTCTAGAAAAGAGACTAATAGGTTTAACCAAGTCAAATGCCCAAGTATGGAAGAGCCAAAGTGTGATAACGTTATGGAGTACTACAGTTAAAGCATGAATGGCATTTCTATGGACTTGACATTCATGGCATTTCCTTGTGCAATTCACTACATCTGCTTCCATGGTAGGTTAGTAATACCCAAGATCTAATAATTTTTTATAAAGCTTTCTCCCCCTTTCATGCTCTCCACTACTTCCAATGCGAACTTCTTCCATTAAAGGATTTACATCAGTAAGAGAAATGCATTTCAGAATACGTCCTGCGAATGATACTCGAAACAACTCATTTCCTTTTAGGAAAAAGTGTTGAGCTCTTCTCTTTGCTTATCTCACATCTTGAAAATTTGTTAAAAGAACTTTATTTTGAAAGTAGTCAATGTAAAGTCTAAGCTAATCACCCGCACTTCCTATAAAATGACATTCATGCATATTTAGAAATTTTGAACACTTGGGAGAAGATTGTAAAATTGAAGTGCATCTTTGGACATAGTTGACCAAAAATACCTTAATTTTTGGAGTAAGTGATGCAATAGTGGTTTTTCCTCTCCATACCACTATTCATGGATTGCTTTCAATTTTTCCTTTACTTTATGCTTGGAAATACATCTAGCTAATACTTAATTCCTTCCTTTATGGTATAATACACCATAGATAAGAGTGAAGTACTTTAAGTACGAGATAACAGTAAAGCTTGGATTGAGCAAGTCTCTTATTACAAGTGCACATTAGTCTTCTTCTTCATAAGTGAAAAGTTGTAATAGCTCACTAGATGGAAATGAAAGCCTTCTTTTTAACACTGAAATAGGACTTTGATTTTCTTCCTACATTTGTATTTTGAAGGCTAGAGTAGTAAATGCGTCTGCATGTCTATTCGTCGATCTTGAACTATGTTTGTATCTCACTTTTTGGAATTTCTATAAAAATGAGTGGACAATAGTTTTATAGGATGTAAGCATAGGCTTTTTAAGAGAAAACTCACCATTGTTTGTCTTACAATGAGATTAGCTCCTCCATGGATGCACAAAGGTACTAACTTTGACAATGGTGGCTGCATACAACCTTAAAATCAACACTTTATATTCTGCTTGGTTGTTGGTGTAGAGGAAATCTAATTTGAAGGTTAACGAAAGAGGATCTTCTTTACTTGGTACATTTATCTTGTACATTCCTTCCGAATGAGCTTAATTATCTTGAGAATTTGAGGATGACTCACTTTTCATGTGAACTTTTTTAGAGGAATTAAGACTATCCCAGCATCTCCACTAAACATTGAGGAAGAACCATAAAAATACACATCAAAATAAAATCAAGAATTACCTTTTCAAATTGAGTTGGGAAATGCGTCAACAAATCTGAAAGAGCTTGAGACTTGATTGTCTTAGGTTGCACAATTGAAATGTCAAACTCTTCAAGTAAAAGAAGCCATTTTGCTTACCTCTTGGATAAGGCTGACCGAGAGTGCAAGAATTTGATAACATTTGACTTGGTTACCACTTTAAGTTCATGAGCCGAGAGGTAATGGCGAAGTTTATAAGTTGCATACACCGATGCAAGATAGTACTTCTCCATCGATTGAGTTTAATTCACTCTCATGCAAACATCCACTCAGTTAATGCATAGGTTGTTCTTGCCTTTCCACTTTTTGAACAAGAAGAACATTAATGGAATGTGGAGTTGAAGTGAGATATAATAGCATTGGTTCCCCTTTGATAGGCATAGTCATGGTCTTGGGAGAAGTACGAATACCTTTGATTTTCTTATAGGCTTGCTATTGTTGGTCACTCCATGAAAATGGGACCCTTCTCTTAAGAAAAGTTTGAAAAGGCATAAGAATCTTCCCTAGGGCTAGAATGAACCTTCGAATATAAGAAACCATTCCCAACAAGTTTTTGAGTAGCTTTTAGCTCGATGGAGGTGGCATTGACTAAATATCCTTTATCTTCGCAAGGTCCACATCTATGGCTTTATAATGAACCACAAAACCCAAGAACTTACCATCTATTTCTTCAAAGGCACACTTCAAGGGATTCATGCATAGCTTGTATGTTTGACATCTCTTGAACACCCTTCTCAAGTCTCCAAGATGATTTGGTGCTTTATTCGACTTCACTACTATGTCATCCATGTAATCTTCCAAGCATCGTGCATCATGTCATGAAAAACTGCTGTCATGGCACGTTGATAACTTGCACCTGTATTTTTCAACCTGAACGGCATAATTGCATAGTAAAAGTTGCCAAATGGAGTTTTGAAAGCTTTTTCTGCATCGCTAAGTGCCATCTTTATCTGGTTATATTCGCTGAATCCATCTAGGAACAACAACTTCATAACCAATTGTAGCATTCACAAAAGTATCAATGTTTAGAAGAGGAAAATCATCCTTGGGACAAGCTTTATTTAGATCTCTAAAGTCCACACACACTCGAATTTTTTCGTTTTTCTTCTCTACATGCTCCAGGTTTGCTGGCCAAGTTGGGTGATAGATTGGCTTGATGAATCCAGCTTTAAGGAGTTTGATAATTTTTTCCTTTATCTGGTTTTCTATGTCATGACGAAATACCTGTGCATATTACTTCGCTGGCTTGGTTCCAAGAGAGATGTGGGACTCATGAGTGACCAATTTTTTAGATTTTTATTTTTTCATTTTAAAATTATGAGTATTTTGAATGGTTAATAAAATAATTATAAATAATTTATTTTTTCTTTTATCTTTTTCTTTTTTCATCATTATGTGTCTCTTTTTCATTTTTTAATTTGACAAACATTGAATAAAAAATATTACTATTATTTAATTAAATTATATTATGATTTTTTGTTTTTTTTAATTTTTCAATTATTTAGGGATAATTATGACTTTTCATAATTGTAAATAACTGTGATTGATGATAATGAATAGTCAAAGGACCTAATAGTGCATTTTGAAACAAAAAGGGCCAAAGTATACTTTAGAGGCATATTAAAGGAGAGTTTTTGTACTTTACCCGAAAATTCCATCTTATCACATAATTTTCACGTTTAAAAGCGGGTGATTAATTTAATTTCAACAGGGCCAATTTCCATTTTTAAACAGAAGTGATTAATTAATACCCCTCAGACTTAATGCTGCAATCAATTAATTTCGGATTCCCAGCTCACCATTTTTGTTTTCACTCGAGATTTATCAAATTAAAATAGACTTACACCAACACCAATAAAATCATCCAGGTGAGACTTCAAGGAAAGTGAGATTTGGGTAAAGTTCTTTAAATCAAATCTGAAAGATTTTTATTTTATTAAAAATGACTAAATAAAATTAAATTTGAAAACCCGAACACATGGATTTAAAGTTTTTGTTATATAGATCAATGGTGAAAAATTTCAAATAATTTGGATATGTTTTGATATTTTATTTAAATGTGTTTTTACTAAAAATTTTGATAAATTTTCACTGTTCAATAAATGTATTGATAAAAACTTATGTATAGGTGTTATTTTTAATTAACTTTTTACATATAATTGATTTTCTCAGTGAACTCTATCAATTATCGGTTTTGAATTTCAAGTTTAATTTTTATTTAATCGATATTAACGAAAAATCTCACCGATCCAAATTCTCTTCATATATCAATGGCGTATGATGATTGATTGCAAGTTACTTGCCGTGGTAAGCTCAAGAGGTGTAGATCATCGAGAGAGGCTACAGATTTTGAACTTATGTTTATCAGTCTGTATATGTTATTTGGAGAGATATTTGTAATATTACTTTAAATTCAAATCATTAGCAGTAATTTAGAGGATGGATTTTTACGAAGATTTGCATGAGAAAAACCTCTATCGAAAGCCCAAACATTTTCTCAAGGAAGAAAAAGAGATCAGAAAATCATATTGAAAACCCAATCCATGTTCTTTTATTCCTGATTGATTTATGGTTATCACCATCCAGCCTGCCTCACAAGACAAACCATGCAAGATAAGAGACAAAAGATAACAGCAACAGGGAAATAAAACGAAGTTCAGAAACGAAAGCACAAAAGCCAAATGTAGGGAAACAGCTGGAAATTGGGTTTATGGTTTTCTGATGATGCTCAGCAGAAGATGGGGAAGGGATGGCCGCAGAGGGGGCAGTACCAGACTGGTTCTGGCACGACCAGGTACATCAAGGGTCCGCAGCAGCAGCTTGCTTGGAGAACAAAAGGGTGGTCTTGGTCATATTTCATTCTGATAAGGCAGTAGCGAGAATGGTCGATGGAGCTGCCAGTTATCTGACTCCACAAAGTGCTTTCGTGAAACAAGCCACCGCCGAGATTGACTTTGCTTCTCAGATCAGCCACGAGAGCTTCGCTCAGATTATTTTTGTAGAAGATGATCTTTAACTGCAAACACCAAGAAACATCATTGATAACATACATTTATATATAAGACAAACAAAAGAATTCGGATATGAAAATAAATTAAGCTTGGTCTGTCGGAGAGGGTGAAGAGAGATTCAAACCCTGAGATCAAAGAAACGCTCCCAAGGGAGGGGGACAGAGCGTTCGGGGGAGTTAAGAAGGAAGGTCCGAAGAGAGCTATCCATGGAAAAGCAGAAATGTGAAGAGGAAGAAGAGAAAGGTATGAGGGGTAAGGGCAGTGTGGGGGTGAATTTATAGCACATGAAAAAGTAGAGGCATGCAAGTTAAGGGTGTGGTTTTTGTCTAAACCTGAGATGTGTGGGGTTCATGAGACTCATTTCCATACCAAAAAAGAAAAATTCTTGTTTCTATATGCTTAAATGATAATTATAACATAGAGTTACCATATAACTATCGTAATTTATTAAGATTCCGTTTAATTGATATTTTTATTATTTAATTTTATTATTTGTTTTTTACGAAAATCAAATGGAGGAGCCTGAGATTTGAAAAGGGAAGTAACAAAAGGGATTGCCATTAGGGATTATGCTTTCTCAACAGTGACCTAAATTATTCTCTCAATTCAGGATAATGTGTTTGAAGGCAATTATGCATATGAAATGGTAATGAAAACCTTATTGTTTTCTAGAGAGTTGGATTTTTTTGTGAAGTTCCTAAAATTTAAAAGAGTTTAGTTTAACATTTTTAGTGTTATGTCATATATTTTCCATGTATTTATTATATAGAATTTACAGCGTGTATGCTTACGATGCAATAATAAATGAGCGTATTCATTTATTAGCATACCATATTACTCGAAAAGAAATGAAAACTTTAAATTTAAATGATAAACAACTAAGAATTTATTGTTTTCCTATAAAACCCGGAAGATATAATACCTAAGAAGCTTCTAAATTATTTAGAAAAATTCAAATAAGTTTTTACTTTTTTATTGCGTGAAGTTCCTATACTTTTATTTTGAGCCAAAACTCTTATATTTTTGTTTTAAGTCAAATAAACTTTTATGAAGAATAGTTAATGTAATCAATGTAACGCCCTTGACTTTTAATGAAATAATTATGCCACTTACTTGGTGAGCTTAGGAGACCTGGTGTAATTGGGGTGTATAATGAGATTTTTCTTAAGTAATTAAGTTATAAAAGAGAGACATTGAGTTAGATGGGACAAGGAAGGGGAAATGAAGTCAAAATGTTTAATGTTTGTAAGAAAGTTATGTTTTGTTGAAAAAGTATCAATACATCAAGAACATTTATCGATACTTATTGGACATAAGGCCTTAGGAAGCATTTTGTGTGAAAAGTATTGATACTTGCAGATAATGTATCGATTGAATTTCTTGGATCACTCCTACTAGTACTGTTTTATTTACTTCTCTAACTCAAAATGCTGAAATACTAGGAATAATTCTACCACTACTTATAAGACAGAATGCCTTGAGGAGCATTCTGTGTGAAAAGTATTAATACTTAAGAAACAAGTATTGATACTTGGATGTCCATATGTTGTAAAATAAGAATGTTGGGTAGGCAAGTATCGATACATTACTAAATGTATAGATACTTGCATGCAATAGTGCAAAAAATATAGAAGGCCTCGAGTTGAGCACTTTGATTATGTTCCCTTCAACTTGAGACTCCCTTAGCTTCCCTCTCCCATTTAAACTCCAAAATAAGTCTAAAGGTGGATCCAAGTGGAAATCTAACCCGATTAAGGTAAGTATAAACACATTTCATCTAGATTTATTAATTGACTTTCTTAGTTATGACTTTTATTGAGAGATTTGTGAATTTCTGCCTAGATGAGAAGGTTGTTGTGTTGAATGATCTCTTGAGGCGAGCTCACTAAAGAAAGTACAATTTGAATCTAAGCTAAAAATTGATGTGGATTCTGTAGATGGAAGAATATCTACGTTGAGATAAAGTTGAAATGTGGGTAAAATGTACAAAAAAGGTGTTGGGTGAAAATGGGCTGTAGTGTATAGAGAAATTGAGTATGTTATTTATTGATATACATTGATTTAATGCAAGATTGCATTTGGAGCTCCAAGTCTTATAGCTAAGGAGCTTGAATAACTAGTTTAACTATTGTTGGTTGAGCTAGTGTTTAGGTAGCCATTAGGTGAGTAATTATGCATTCAAACATTTTGGAAGAATACATGACAAGCTTTAAGTATGATTGTGCTCAAATGTTTTTCAAAACATGCATGGGAACAAGCATTGTGTATTGCCACACTTGATGTTTATGTGTGTGTAATTGATTTATCGTATCAACTTGATGAGATGAGTGTTTATGAATGGTATGATATGTGTATGTATAATTGTGCTAAGGTATGAACTGAATGTGTTGAAGCTTATGAATATATGATATGATGCTACATGTGCAAATGAACTGATAAATGAAATTCATATGCTACGAAATTGTGAGACATGAGTTATGTTGATATGACAAGCACATTGAATGGCATGGTGGATGAGGCTACACGGTCATATGAATATTTAATAATGATTGTTTATGATAAATTATGTGGTTTAAGGTACATCCCTAGCTAGTAAAGGGAAAATGGTGCTAGCCATATGTTGAAAAGGATACCACATGAGATATAACTTGAGGTTAGTGGCTACATGCATTGGACCGTGATGTTGTGTCCCTAGATAGTGCGTGGGAAATGTCACTATACAATGAGCTCCCTAGATAGTAAGGACAAAAAATCACTATCCCATTGTTGAGAAAGCCCATAGTAATATACAATTCCCTTAATAATGAAGGGGAAATATCCCTATCCTGTGGTTGAGAAGTCCCACATTAATATATGATTCCCTTAATAATGAGGGTGAAATATCACTATCTCATGGTTGAGAAGTCCCATGGTAGTATGCAATTTCCCTTGATAATGAGGAGGAAATATCACTATTCTATGGCTATTAAAGTTCTACAGTAGCATTTATAACTAGTTAATTGCAAATTTGTAAGTTGATGTTGTGAATCCTAAGTGGATTAGTAAGTTTGATTGTGTTCTTAGTTGATATTGTTGTTTAGTGTGCTCCATGGTGTTTATAAGCATGTGAGTGAGTTTAATTGAGGTTTGAGCACTAGAGAATGTGTTGGTAAGTTTAAGCCTTAAATGATATACTGTACATAGCCTTTTGCACCTGGAAACTGCAAAACTCTATTGCTTTTTGAATGAAGTATTGATACATTGGGAAATATATCAATACTTATTCATCAAGATAATTTTAAGGGTATTTTAGATTAATTGTATTGATACTTCTTGTAAGAGTATCGATATTTGTGCTTTGTTCTTTGGCAAATGATGCCTTATGGCTAGTAGTTAGATGGGAATGTTTTCCCATTTGTATTTCACACTCAATTGTGTATGAAATGGAGGGTTTTTGGTTGACATGACAGTTTTAAAGTGAAATATTGATATGCATCATAGATTTGAATAGGAAAACTTTATGGTTTTAAAGATGTAAATAGGAAAACTTGCATGGTTTCAAAGATGCAAGGGCATTGTTTATCAACTTTCTCTTGCTAATTGCTTGTTATCTTCAAACATCTCTCACTAAGTTTTGCTCATTGTTTTTAACTTGCATGTTTTCAGATTCAAAGCTAGCTGGATCATCGATACTTTTAAGGGGATCCTCATACACCTTTTGGTAGGTTCGAGACCATGGCATTTAATAGTTACTTCTCCACCCAGAGTCACTTCGCTGGTCATTGGTTGTCAGGTTGCTTTGGTCATTTGACCATATGTATATATTTATGTGTGTGGGTTATGGGATATGCCTGTAGTTCTTTGTGTATTATGACTTAGCCATGAGTTGGTGAATATGATATGATTTTCGTATATGTCATGTCTGAACACTTTGTTGGATGTTTATAGCACGTAGTTGTGCAATCTGCAAATGTTTTGAACATAAGGATGTGAAATGGAAGTAAATGTTTATCCATCGATTGAGTACCCTTATGAAGGCTTATACAAGTGTATTATGCTTGAGGCTTGTGTGAGCTCGGTGGGTTATGCTTATTGGGTCCTTGCATCGGTCACGACCTATTGAGTCGTGACTATTATGCTAATCCCTCAAGTGCACGAATTGTGAACAAATAATATAGAATGAGTAAAATATCGTTTCCACGAGGAGTTTGTATCCAGTACCAAAATTAGGGTTTTGTATATTATTTAGAAAGTTCAATTTAAGTTAAATAAGGTTAACTAATCAAAATCCAAATTAAAGACAATCAATTACTTAAACTTTAATCAATAATAATTACAATTCTAGAATTTAGATTTCATCAATTGAATCCCTATGATTAACTTTTGACTGATTGATCTAACTTATTTTTTTAAGATTAATGACTAGATCACTTAAGGTATATGATGTTCTCTTTTGAGATATAGTTCGTGTATTTATATTAATCCTATGTCTACTTTCGTGATCACAAGCATTAATATAAACCTATTAACTTCTATGGTAATCTATGCATCCAGTCATGTCGCAGCTTAAGCATGCATGAATTATACAATGTCACAAAGGAGTGTTTTTATTTTTAAGAACACTTTCCCTAAGTCTAATATCTTAATGAACTAATGATATGTTCCATCCTTCGATCCATCACATAACACCTACAACATGCAAATAATGATTAGTTATTCACAAGAATTAAAACCCTAAGACATATATAAATCTTAACAAGAATAAGTTCAAATCAATCATTTAAAAGCAATCCTAGGTAAAACAAAAACACTACATCTAAACCCTAGAATGAGAAATTTAGCTACTCATAGAACAAGAGTCAAACATAATCTTTATAAAATAAAGCCAAAAGTCATCATCTTGACAAATAACAATCTAAAAAAATAAAAAGAAATAGAAGAAGTTTCAAGAAAACTCGTTAAAGCTTGAATGAATTCTTCAAATCTTGAGTCCTTGATTTGAAATCTTCACTCTCCTTTTCTAATTCTTATCACTCGAATCTCTCTTCTTTCCTTAAAGTTTTCTCCCTTTCCCACCCCCTTTTTCCTTCTTGAATAGCGACTTAAATAAACAGCCCAAGTTTTTTATTACCACATAAACTTTATCCCAACTAAGAGTTTAAATTAATTTAGCTTCTAACTTATGATAACTCCTTCAATTAAACCTCTAGCTCAGCTTGAATTCCACTAGATCGTGTTGCCAATCTCC